TGTACCCCTATTTTTTTGTATTTTGAAATAAAAAAATATTTAGAGGTCGCTCAAAGCGCTGAAAGTTTTCCACGTATTTTTGTATGGGGAAAGAACAACTTTTCGTAGAAATGGTATAGATTTCTTTAAAATCAATACTTTTCGATCGGAAAAATCTGGTTCTCTTCAGGAGACTTTCAATAATAATACCGAATTGTTTATTTAACCATTTTTTAATACTAACGATTTTTTCTTGGTCCGCCCATTGCATTTTTCAAGGTTTTTGTGGGTTTTTGGCGGACCTATAAATTATAGTTGCGATGAAAAAATGGTTAAATAAACAATTGGGTACTATTATTGGGAATCTCCTGCAGACAAACAGAGTTTTCCGATAGCAAAAAATATTGATTCTTAAGAATTATATACCATTTCTACAAAAAGGTGTTTTTTCCCCATATAAATACATGGAAAACTTTGGGCGCTTTGCGCGACCTCCAAATATTTTTTGATTTCAAAATAAAAAATGGGGATATATTTTTTTTCGGTATAGAACAATCCTTGGGAGTGAGAGTATAAAAATTCCGACTTTACTTTTTCACATCCATTTTTGGACCACCCTAATGTACATACATATATGTATATACTAACCGTCCAATTCTGTGTTTTCTTGATAAATTTGTTATAAAGAAATTTTATCAAGGTTTTTATCAAGTAAAAGCTCCCTTCGCATTCTGTGTCAATACTTATAAAACAAAAAGCTCTACGATGTCCACATGAGTGGAACTGATTTCATTGTCACATATGAAAAATATGAATTTAAAAGCAAAAAAGCTTTTGACTGCCGTAGCCGAGTAGGTAAAGATGTCGACTATGATTCCGTGTGTCGCAGGTTCAATTGCCGGCACATGGAGTATTTAATTGTTAGCAACAAATTTATTAACATACAAAATTTATACATTTCACATGAAATTTCAGTTTGTCAATAGCATTTTCAATCTTGATAATTTATCAAGAAAAGAGCTTTTGATTTCTGTGCTAGAATACCAATTCTTGATAAATAATAAAAAATTTACAAATTATAAAGGTTTTCAATTTATCAAGTGCACAGAATCGGGCTGTAAACGTGAGCAAACATTTTTCTTGCATAGTCTTTTGTTCTCTTTTCACTGGAAGTTTAATTATTTTAATATCTCTTGAAAAACTTTATGCTGACAAGACTAAAAAGCAGAAAATAAATAAAATAAAAAAAAACTTTTTAATATACCACGCTTTTATAAATGAACTAATTAGAAAATAATATTTCTCAGTCCCATAGAATTTGGTTTGATAGCTTTTGATTTTGAAATTTTAGCAAAGGTCATTATACACAATTTATGAGATTGAAAATGAAAAGCGTGGGGCGCATGTAATAGACCTGAATTGATATGAAGAGTAATATATGTATGTATGTGGGTATATGAATAACGACCGCTTAAAATCGGTCCCAAATTTGTACTTTCTCTGTAGAAATTTAAGGTCTATGTTATGTACTTTGTCTATTGCCAATTAAATCTAATGCTTTGTATTGCATGCGCTCCACGTTTTACGTTTTCAATCTCATAAATTGTTTATAATGCCTTTTGCTAAAATTTCAAAATCAAAAGTTATCAAAACAAATTCTATGGGACTGAGAAATATTGGGCCTTTTGCATAATAAGTGAGCTTAAGCTCAGACTCAATTTTCGCACTAATCAAGTGAGTTAAAGCTCAAGAATTTGTACTGAAAATCGAGTCGGAGCTTAAGCTCACTTTTTATGCATGAGTACCATTATTTTCTAATTTTTAGTCCATTTATAAAAGCGTGGTATATTTAAAAGTTTTATTTTATCTTATTTATTTCTAAAATAAAATAAAAACAAATTAAAGTATATTTGTTTTTGTTATTTTTATGGCCTTTATAACAATTATTATTTATAACAAGGCCATACAAATAACAAAAACAAATAACTTAAGGACGAGCACACCTAAAAAGTTAAACATTCTAATAATAGAAATATTAACAAAAACCAACAAACCAACAACCACATGATCAAGTGAATTGCAGCGGAATAGCTGCGCTTGATTGTAGTTGGCTTAGCAAAGTGAAATAGTGGAAAATAAGCAATAAGAATTAACAAGACAAACTTAGCACAGTGCGTAGGCAACTGGCTGAGTCAGTGGTGATCGTCGGTTCGAATCCTACTGAAAGAAGTCTGATGAGGAAATGTGGTGATTTCCGAAATAGCTATCACTTCTACCATTTTTTCAAATTATTGTTGCTTTTCCACAATAAGTTTTCACTGAAAACGGCCTCGAGCTCATAAAAATTGTTGAATTAAAGTATATAACAAATAACAAAGTGACCATCACGTCAAGGCTCTATCTGTTTTGTCTCTTTGCTAGAGCTTCTAAAATATTGAAAAAAAAAAAACAATATGAGCTGATTGAAACTTGTTTCTTGCGGATTCGTAATCGGCACAAAAGGTCTATCAAAAACAGCTTTCACATTGCTTTACCAAAATTTGTTTCTATTTTTGTCCATTAAAAATGAGCAACAATTCAGATTTCCGTTTTTTCTACAAAAATTTTTCCTTGTGAGGTCCACAATACCCTTCCCTCCCCTATTAAGTTATAATTTTGCAAAATAGTTCAATGAATATCATCATGCATGTGCGGGCATGGGCAGAGAATGAGAACACAATGGGCTACCTTTTCTCAATATAGTCTTCGCAATCTGGATGTTAATGTCGACTCAGTATTAAAAGAATTTTTATTTATAACTGCGTGAATTGCTGTGTCTTTTCTTTGAGTTATAACGAATTTTATCCACAATTAAATACAATATGCTGAATACTCTGAATAAAACAATGATATTCTTGGATGTTACGAATGACTACATAAATAAATCACTAAATTAATGACTTTACATAAATAAATCATTTGTGAATGTATGTGAAATATTTGAGTAAGTATGTTTGATTTGCTAATGTACTTTGTTTTTTTTATAGTTTAGGCTCTTAAGAATCAGAGGCTGACATGAAATAGCTGCTTCCGTTTAATAGTTGTGTTATTTGGCTGAGTGGAAATGCAGTAGTGTTGGTTTGCGAGGTGGTTTTGCGTTTTGCTAGAGTGGGGAGGCGAGTCTTCATGAGAAGGATTAAACAGTTGGTAGTTTTTTCTTATGTGAGTTACATTTTCGTTTGAAAATTGAGTAATTTGAGCGGATGGATTTTCCGCAGTAGAGTTGTTGTCGGTTATGATTTTGTATATATGTGCTTTTGAGTTTTTGCTATTTTATTTATATTAGCTTTTGTTGATGAAGCTGGGCGCTTGTATGTTGCGGATGTTGATGTATTTGGTGTATTTGTTGTGCTTGGTTTGTTAAAAGTTGGGTTGGTGATGTTAGAGTATGATATTTGTGATTTTTGTGTATGGGTGTGTTTTTCATTATATTTTTGACGCGCTTCCCCCATAGAGCATTTTTCTATTGTTTTAATTTTTAAAATGTCTTTTGTTGTTTACTTGTAGCTGTGGCAGTCTTTGTCAGAGGAGGAATGATTTTCATTACAGTTCGCACATTGTTTGCGTGTGCATTCAACTGGAGAATGGGCGGCGAATTGCATCCTTCACAGGTGCATGGATTAGAGCATCTGGTTTTGGTATGACCTAGGAGTTGGCAATTTCTGCAACGCATGGGGTTCGGGTAGTAGGGAGACACTGTTACTTTGTACCAAGCCACATCTAGTGATTTTGGAAGCTGGTACTGTCAAAGTTTACAGCGATTTTTCCGGTGGGGGGTACTCGTCACTCCCTGACTTTTTAGGTTGGACAATTTCATTTTCCTTTACGAAGTTGCGACATGTGGCGTACATGTTACTTTTCACTGTATTGAGGTTGTCTTGCAGCTTGACTGTGATAGGGTAAATGTTAGAAGCGAGTTCGTTTTTTAAAATTTTTCAGCTATTTTAGGGTTGCGGGCCAAAACCAGTAGTTAACCGTCTTTAAGCTGTTTAATGCTGTCTATTCGGGTTGATATCGCATCAATACCCCTTTTTATTACAAACGGGGAAAGTTTAATTCGTTGTTAGGTTGTTGTTGTTGTAGCAGCATACAAATTCCCCAAAGACTTTTTGGGGAGTGTTGCTGGAGTGACAGTCCTTGGCCAGATATAAATCTGGGTCGTTCCGGTTACGTAGACCCGACTGTCGTGGGAACGTTGTTAGGTCTTTTGTTTTGCTGGGTGTTGTTTGTTTTTGTTGAAGTGTAGGGGATGTGTGTGTGTCGTATGTGTCCATTTCACTTAGTATTGAAAAACGGTTTGTTGCTTTGTCCGGCCGATCAGGTGTTGGTGGCATTTTTTTTAGGCACAAACGGTTCTTGATCGAACACTGAACTTGTTTAATTGTTATTGCTACGAAAGTGTAACAAGGAATAGACTAACCACTGTGTGGAGAAGCACTGTGGTTTTTAGCTTATTTTGTTTATTGGATCAGTGTGACGATAGCACTTGTATACACGTCCGAGCACGTTAATAGCTAGTCGATGACTGTATTGCCAATTAAATGTAATGTTTTGTATTGCATGCGCTCCACGTTTTTCATTTTCAATCTTTTAAATTGATTATAATGACTTGCCAAAATTAGATAATTCCAAAGTTATCAACACAAATTCTATGGGACTGAGAAATATATTTTTGGTCAAAGCGTGGACAATATTTCTATAGAAAAATAAAAAAAAATTTTACTTGAAAAACATTCGGAATATTTAATATTTTGGTCACTTGCTTGAATCACTGCAAAGCTTGCAACTTTTTTAAATATATTTTTATAGAAAAATAACAAAAAAATTATTTTTAAAAACATTGTGAATATTAAAAAAAAGCACGTGGTGACTTACTTGCGTCACTGCATATGTATGTCTGTTTTTATGTTTATGTTTGGATGTTTGTTTTAAAAAGTAGCTATAAAATAATTACCATTTCATTTTATATTTCAACATGAAAGGAAGTGATGAAGGGCGTGAGGTGAATCAGAATTCTGAAGTGTTAAGAGATTTAAAAAATGATAACAAGACACACCAAACCCCAGAAAATGTCCAGAATGAGATAATTGACGGCGAAGAATCTTCCCATTCGTCAGAGTCTATAGATTTAGAAACGCTTCATGATGTTGGTATAACGATACATATTCAGAGCCCGGGTACTGAAATGCTTTCTGTACAATTATCTAGTATGGAATTAGTGCAAGAGATACATCAACTACTAATGGATCGAGAAGATACTTGTCATCGTACCTGTTTTTCTTTACAGTTGGATGGCGTGACTTTAGATAATTTTGCTGAATTAAAAACAATTGAAGGTTTAAAACACGGGTCTACCATAAAAGTTATCGAGGAGCCATACACTATGCGCGAAGCTCGTATTCATGTGCGACACGTTCGTGATTTATTAAAAAGTATGGACCCCTCTGACGCTTATAATGGGCTTGAATGCAATTCTCTCACATTTTTACATACCATCACGCAAGGAGATCTACTCGAAAAGAAAAAAACTCGATCAGATTCAGTAGATTGCACACCACCAGACTATGTGATGCCCGGTGTTAAAGAAGCCCCTCTTACTCCATTACAACCTGGAATAAAAAATTCAAAAGTCCCTCAAGCACTGAAGATTTTGACAAGTTCTGCTTGGAATCCTCCACCAGGGCCGCGTAAATTGCATGGAGACTTAATGTACTTATATGTTGTAACCATGGAAGAGAAGCGATTTCATATTTCAGCATGTCCTAAAGGATTCTACATAAACCAATCTACGGACGAAACTTTTAATCCTAAACCAGATAACCCCAGTCACTTAAGCCATTCGTTAATAGAGCTTTTATCGCAAATTTCCCCATCTTTTAAACGCGCATTTCAACAGATGCAAAAGAAGCGCACATTGCGCCATGCCTTCGAACGTGTTGCTACGCCTTACCAAGTGTATCAATGGACCGCACCACAATTAGAACACACAATTGACGCGATTCGAGCAGAAGATGCATTCTCTTCGAAGCTAGGGTAAACAATTTGGTAAATATAAAGGTAAATATATACGTTACTAATAATTTTTTGTAGGTATGAAGAGCATATACCTGGACAGACCCGTGACTGGAACGAGGAGTTACAAACCACTCGTGAATTGCCTCGCAAAACACTAACAGAGCGATTGTTGCGAGAACGTGCTATTTTTAAAGTGCATGGAGACTTTGTAATTGCAGCTACACGTGGTGCGATGGCAGTTATAGATGGTAATGTTTTGGCTATAAATCCAGGAGAGGACTCAAAAATGCAGATGTTTATTTGGAATAACATTTTTTTCTCGCTGGGTTTCGATGTGAGAGACCATTATAAGGATTTCGGCGGTGATGTAGCCGCTTTCGTTGCTCCTAGAAACGATCTCCATGGTGTACGCGTTTACAGTGCCGTAGACGTAGAAGGACTGTATACGTTGGGAACAGTAGTTGTAGATTATCGCGGTTTTCGAGTAACAGCGCAATCGATTATACCAGGTATTTTAGAAAGGGAGCAGGAACAATCGGTTGTTTATGGTTCAATTGATTTTGGAAAGACAGTCCTTAGCCATCCTAAATATTTAGAATTGCTTCGGAAGGCTGGTAAACATTTAAAGATTATGCCCCATTCAGTGTTAAATGAACGCAATGAGCCAGTAGAGTTGTGCTCTTCTGTTGAATGTAAAGGTATTATCGGCAATGATGGGAGACATTATATTCTTGATCTGCTTCGTACGTTTCCACCCGATGTGAATTTTTTAGTTTTGGATGATATCCAAATCAGCCCAGAGCTCCAAGTTCTAGGATTCCCTATAGAGCACAAGCATAAATTATCTTGTTTACGTCAGGAGCTACTTGAGGCATTTATCGAAGATCGTTACGTTACTTTTATACGTAGTGCTGCACAGCACTTACAGAATTTTAATTCACAAAAGGCATCGTCTGAAAATAATAATGAATTAAAAAGTAATGAAAATAAATTATCGGACCAAGCAAACGAAAATCAGAAGTCAGATAATTTGGAAAACAATACAACTGATGTTATGGTACATACTCTGGATGCAATTAAAGAAGCGCAAAATAATGTCGCTACTGCTGATGAGAACCAGGCAGCAGATGTTGTGAGACATGCCTGTGCCGCTGTTGGTTCATTAAAAGAACAAGAGTTTGATTTTCGTTTCAACCCAGATGTATTTTCACCCGGAATACGTCATTTTGATGACCCAAATCACTGCAATTCAATTTCTAAGCAAAAAAAACTTATCCAAGAAGCGGCCGAATTTTTGGTTAAAAAGCAAATACCGGCCTTTATAAAAGAACATATGAATCACACATCACCACCAATGGATGGCACAAGTTTAACCGAAGCTTTACATAGTCATGGCATTAACGTGAGGTGAGTACCGCTGATATATTTGTTTGTTTAACTTTCCCCATGATTGATGTTTTTAAGATATCTTGGTAAAGTAATAGATATGCTAGAAAAAATGCCTCGGATGGAATATTTACATAGAATAGCCGTTGTTGAGCTAATAGTACGAGCTACGAAGCATATTTACTACACATATATGCAAGGCACAGATGTTATGCACTTGGCGAATGCCATTAGTCATTTTTTGAACTGTTTTTTATCATCGGGACCTGTATATGTGACAAGCAATACAAGTGACGCAAATAAATCAAATAGACGTGGTAAAAGTAAAAAATATAGCAAAAATGCTGTTTTAATATCCCATGTAAATGCCCTTGGAAACAAAAATGCGTTAAGTTCCAATCAGAGTGAATTTCTTTTAATGACCCCAAAGTCACTTTGGATGCAAATTAAAAAAGAAGCTAAATGCTATTGGGATTATGATCTCAGATGTGACTCAATTGAAACAGCAGTTGAAATTTATGGTTTTCATCGAGTAGCTGTTTTAAGATCTTTCTGCCTAAAAGTTGGAATTCAAGTGTTGCTGCGAGAGTACAATTTTGAGTTACGAAACAAGTCAACATTCAACGAAGAGGATGTACTGAATGTATTTCCAATTGTTAAACATATAAGTCCACGTGCATCGGATGCTTACAATTTTTATACCACTGGCCAATCGAAAATACAACAGGGACTTTTCAAAGAAGGTTATGAACTTATTAGTGAGGCGCTTAATCTTTTAAACAATGTGTTCGGTGCAATGCATTCCGAAAATGGCTCGTGCTTACGGATGTTAGCTCGACTAAGCTATTTATTGGGAGATCCACAAGAGGCCTTGGCTATACAACAACGCTCAGTTATAATGAGTGAACGTGTGAACGGAATCGATCATCCATGTACCGTACTAGAATACGTAAGAAAGGCAAAAAGAAAACCCCAAAGCAAATATTTATTTTGATCTTTTTCTTTAGACGCACTTGTCATTGTATTGTTTTGCTAATGGACAAATTGGTGCATCCCTAAAACTACTTTACCGTGCTAGATATTTATTGGCTTTAATATGCGGTGAAGACCACCCAGAAGTTGCACTCATAGATGTATGATCATAATGTTTGGAAAAATTTTTATTTCAATAATTTCTCTATTATTTCAGAGCAATATCAGCTTGATTTTACATGCTGTTGGAGAGTACGAGTTATCATTACGATTTATTGAACACGCGCTGGAGTTAAATTTGAAGTACTTTGGAGATAAGTCTATGCACGTCGCAGTTAGTTATCATTTAGTTGCAAGAACTCAGTCATGTATGGGAGACTTCCGCTCAGCTTTAAACAATGAAAAAGAAACGTATGCCATTTATAAGTCTCAGGTAATAAAAAGTACATTGAAATGTAGCTTAGCATATCAACATTTGGGTACTGCAACAGGTTGTCGACTTTGCTCGACACATGACAACTTCGCCAACTACCGCTGTCCTTTGCGAAGTTCTATTGTTGTTCGCCCGGAGAGCGGTTGACGAATAGCGCATATTTTACTACCAAATCAGTCTTAAGTTAATAGGTCTGTATGATTTAAGTCAAAAATCGAATGTGCTACACGACTGCATCCCAGATTTTTTCTAAATATCCTTAGTTTGAAATTTCGGTCAAATTTATTGAAATTTTATGAATTTTCCCTACTTTTGCACAAAGTTTGAAACTTTGATTTATCTACATATATGGTTTATACAAAAATAAATCTGATGCACACAAATGTCGTTAATAATAGTTAAATGAAATTGAAAGGGTTATTTTGTATCTACAACTTACCTGTAACAAATCCACATTGTGAATTATTTTGTTCAGTCACCCTTTTTGCAAAAGCGTTTAAGTAAAATCTAATGAAATACGATTGAAAAGTGTATTTAATGAAGAATAATAAAAAATCTTAATTTTATTTAGGATTTTCGGGAATATATAGCTTCAGGTACATCTCTTTTGTCCTCAATTTGCCTGGTTCCATTTTTCTATGATAGATATTTCCTGATGGAACCGCTCGCCGTCTTCGTCGCTAACGACCCCCAAATTTTCATGAAAAAATTTAAATGGGAGTGTAAGAAGTTTATCATGAGCGAAATATTGCATCCCATATTCTTGTAGTCTGTTAAAAGGTTGCTGACCTACTCCTCCTAGTTTTCGGCTTTGTGGTTTCCAAGAAAATTACGAACAACATGTTATGTAGCAGCATATTTGAATCCGGCGAGGCGGCATGCAGGTACGCTTGCATCCCAAGCTAGCTCGTTGTTGTTGTAGCGGCACTACTATCATTGTCGTCAAGCCCAGGAAACGGGATTTTTCAATAGGGTCGGAACAGAGGGAGAGGGTGTCAGTTGAGTCGGGTTGAGCTGGAATGTGAAGAGGTGGTTGGTGTCGTGCGGGAGTCTCCACAAGCCGGGCACTCATTGGGGATATTGGGGTCGAGTATGGACAGATAGCTGTTGAGGCGGCTACAATATCCCGACCGTAATTGAGCCAGGTTACGCGGGTCTCTTTTGGCAGTTGAAGCTCCGTCTCTTCTACAGGTGGTGATTGTGCTCCAACCACGGCATTCACAGGCCGGGAGTCGAGGTAGGTGGTGACTGACTCCCTATGAATGTCGTTGTACGTCGGCGGGTGCAGTGGTTGGTCTACGTATATCTGGACTGCGCCCTTGTACTCGAATAGGGCCCGACGTGTCTGGGCGGGGGCTCCTCCTCTAGCAGTAGCCTGTTAGGGTGTTCACTTCTGTGGCACCCCACCAGAAACTGCTTACAGAGCAATTTGTTGTGCTACCTTACGGGGAGCACTTGGGCCTCACTGTGTAGGTGGTCCTCAGGCGACATCAAAAGAAAAGTCTGTAGCTTCGTCCACTGCGTCCAACTAGTCTCCGGCGTACATACTGGTGCAATTTAGTTTTGAACCGGCCGGCCGATTGCCTTGTATGTTGCCAGCAACGTTTATTTGTCTTTGCCCCAACTACTGCCGTAGCGACTTGAGGACCTTGTTGCGGCTCTGTACTTTATTGAAAATTGGGATTGCGTGCGCAGAGAAGGAAAGCAGGCTGTCGAAGGTTACTCCGAATACTTTGGTGTTGTTTACCGTCGGAATTGGTGTGCCACCAGCGTGAATACCCAGCGGTAGTCTGACCTCCTTCGTCCAGGGGTGAATAAGGTCACAGAGGATTTTGTAGGGGAGAGGATTAGGCTCCTAGCAGTGAAAAAGCAAGAAAGCTCGGAGAGATACCCGTTTACTTTCGAGTACAAGTCATCAATTCCATTCCCAGACGCCATTATCGAACAATCGTCAGCGTAGGAGACAATTGAGACTCCCTCTGGAGGTTGAGGGAGCTTTGGAATATGATAGTTAAACAGTAATGGGGAAAGGACACCACCCTGTGGAACCCCCTGTTTTATGTTTCTAGGTTTGTTCGATTTGTCTCTAAACAATACTGACGAGTGTCGACCACTTAGATAATTCACCGACCATCGTTCGAACCTCTGTGGGAGAGAGGAGGCCTCAATATCTTCTAGCAGAGTGCAGTGATTGCCGGTGTCAAACGCCTTTGACAGATCCTACGCTATTAGAATAGTCCCGCAAAACTTTACGGGTGTTGCCAGACATTTCTTCTTTGCGTCCATTTTTTATATGCCGCTTTTCGATTTTGGTTCTGAAAATTTTTAATTGTTTAACTTAATTACCAATTGCTAATATTTGATCTTTCTTTTCCTTGATTTTTTTGTTTTCATCCGCCATTGCGCTCAAATCCAATGCAAATACGTAAACTGTCCGCAATAAACTAAACAAATTTGATTGGTATTGCCATAATGCAACCCTGCTGCGAGGTTGCAAAATGCAGAAGCGTAAAAACCATACCTTTGAGTGTGGCAAAATGTAGACGTCTACATTTTAAGACACTATTTGGACCGAGTGTGAACACTTCAACTGATTTGAAAGAGACAGAAAAGTAGAAGAGGGAATTCGTTCAGTCAAAATTATCTATCAGTTAATAAATGCTAATCTTACACTAAGGGTCTTCACATCCATTTTGGTAGGTTTGGTAAATTGCTGGTCGACACTCCGTAATTTTATCAACTGCGAGCGTCCTTTTCAGTCTTCTTTTGTTAGTATGACAAACTGTGTTTATCAACAGCGAATTCATAGCTTTTGTCCTAAAAAAAAAAAAACAAATTGTACCAGAAAACTTAAGAAATTTTACTTATTTCAGCAGGCGGATATAAAATTGAATAAATATCGAACAGCTGATTGCAGTTTACCAACTACCAGAAAAATTATTAAGCCTCCTTCGCGATAATTCGCTAACCGGTACACCGATAATAAAATAATTTTACACAAACGAAATACATTGGTAAAAATTACCCAACACCGAGTACCAAGTTCGGTCATTCCCACGACACCCGGTTCTACGTACCGGAATGACTCGGGTTTTACCCGACCAAGGGCTGTTGTTTCGACGATCTAACCCCGTTTAGGTCGGCGAAATCCATCAAACGTTGCTAGATTCTAGAGCTACATCTGCTCCGTACCCCTCTGCTCAGGGCTGGTATAGAGTCGAAACCAGGGACAGAAATTTACACCTGCTGCGTATACCAGAGACGACTACATACAAACTCCATGCTGTGCGAACCGGACCGCCTCCACGGCAAACCACCACCTGCGCGGGCAGCACACAATCAACACACCCACACCGTAACACAACAACAATAGACACACAAACAAACACAATAGCACCCGCACACCGCCGCCGGCAACTCCTAGTCCCTCCGACAATCCGCTCTGTTTGTCAGTCCAGAATATACCGTAACGTGACATCAGTCAAGTGCAACTCCTGCCTCGGCGTGCTCAGGACTTCGCAACACTCGAGATTCGACGAGTGACTATGTGGGCCCCTGCTGTGCTGCTGATTGTCAAAATATTGTTCGGCAAAATTTTTGGGTAGAACGTAATACTCTTTCATAAAAGAGTAACACTGCCGCATTAATTGAATTTGATTTTTTAAACCCTGGGAGGTTCCTTAGAGATAAAGCCTTTTTAAACCCATTTCCATTGATACCCATATTGCAGCAATTCATTTAACTAATTGAACAACATTTTTTAACAGGTCGCAACTCTGTTAATGTTTACTTGATTTTAAACATTTACAATTCTATATGTCAAAACACGTCTTTTCTAAACATTTTGAGTAGAAATATTCATAAAAATAAATCTGGCCGGATAAATCTGATAAATGCCCCTATGTGCAGCGCATCATGGCGACCTATGTTGACCCTAGCATCAGCTCATCTGCCCATAATCATCTCGATTGATAAACCTGCCGACTTTGCTTCCGTGGATCACCGGACCTATGTCAACTTTTCCAAAGCTGACTGGAAAGGCTTCGCGGATGTTACTGAGGGCGCTTTCACTGCACTGCCCATACCAACCGACGTTCATGTAGGTGAACGTAAGTTCCGCAGGGTTGTCACCGCTGCTGCAGCTCGTTTCATCCCAGCAGGAGGTATTAAGGATCCACGTCCGAACTTTCCTGCTGAAGCGGCTGTTCTAGACTTTGGTGACCACGCTTCGTCGGACCCGGAGCGATGCGCGAGCTATTTTAGCCGGCAGTTCATTCTGCGACCTCCGGTGGAAAAAGCCAAACGTCGAGTGACCAGAAGGTGCACAAAATTCCAAAACCCAGTGCGCCTCTTGTTTTCACCAGCGGTGAGGTAAGGGTAGCCATCGGGAAGGCGAAAGCCTCCAAAGCCATTGGACCCGACGGAATATACATGTTGATGCTGAAAAATTTGGGTCCTGCGGGAGTAGCATACCTAACGGAGGTCTTCAACCTGTCTATGGCCACTCTCGTCATTCCAGACATCTGGAAAATGGGGAGAGTTGTCCCACTGCTCAAACCGGGGAAACCAGCCAACAAAGGAGAGTCGTATCGCCCGATAACCCTCCTTTCCCCGGTAGCAAAGACACTCGAGGCCCTGCTGCTCCCGTATTTTACGAACCACCTGACCCTAGGGAAGCATCAGCATGGGTTCCGTAAAGTGCATAGCACTCGGAGTTACCTTCGACAGTCTGCTCTCCTTCTCGGCGCATACAACTGTAAATGTCAGCAAAGTACAGAGCCGCAACAATGTCCCCAAGTCGCTGGCCGGCAGCACTTGGGCAAAGATAAAGAAACGTTGTTGGCAACATACAAGACAATTGGCCAGCCGGTTCTAAACTATGCAGCGCCCTTGTGGTCGCCGGGGACTAGCAGGACGCAGTGGATGAAGCTACAGACCGCCAAAACACGGCATTACGAACAGCGACCGGATGCCCGATGACCACCTACATGACGAGGCCC